AATGTATTTTCTTTTGTTTCTTTCTCTTGCGAGCATAGGCGTTTAAACTAAATAAAGTCGGTAGGTGGCAGTAATGATTCTGAAACAACACTGTGGTGCGGTTTAAACCCTGTGAGGAATGACAAGTTTGGTTGGGAGGCTGGGTTACAAGGATGAGTTCAGTTATGTCAAGCATGGAAGGAGACTTAGTGAATAAGTTCAAATATCCGATAAAAAAAGGATTCGTGTGAAAAAGTACATTTTAGAGGGGCATTCAAAATTCAGTAAGTGAATGTTTTTGGCAAACCATTTGTGGAGATGTACAGCTCAAAAAAGGGCAACAATACCCTTAAATCTAATGGTAAATGTGTCTAGACATGTCTGCCATAATCAAAATGTGAAGCCATATATAGAATTAGAAAATAAGTAAACGTCATTCAGGACAAATCTATTTACATCAAAACACTTCTACAGGCGGGGTTAACGTTTGGAAGTCCCTTCTTTGTTGAGTTCTTTGACCAGGTTGCACAGTTACCTCAATGACCAAATAAATATAAAAATACATTTCCAAAAAAAAAAAAAAATCAGGACTTTTGACAACTACGTTTATTATTTTTGGGTTTATTTTGATATCCAACGTACAACTTTCCGCTCTTTCTGTCGGTTTCTTGACTCTGCTCTCATCCGCCTCGCGTGTTGCGACATCCCCTCCCTCACCCTCTGCCCCCGCCACACACACTTTCTGGCTTTCTCCAGCTGAAACAATCCTCTCTGTTTAGTAGTCAGGACCAACACCAGCCGAACCCAACAGGGCAAAGGCGTAAATTAGTGCCGAGGCCTGAATAGACGAGCCCTCCTGTTCTGTTCTGTTCTGTTCTGCTGCTCATTTAAACCAGGCCACAGCGGTGCTGCTGCTGCTGCTGCACATGTCACTGAGTCACTGACAGCGACAGTGATCAAGTCAGGAGCACAGATATGGTTGAACACGTTACCATCACCACCGACACTGTGACTAGTCTGTTCGCCCCGTGTTACACCTGCTCCACGGAAGTGTAGCTCCTCATCCACTCACATCCTGTCAGTCTCGGCTCCTTCTCTCTTTAGCGATGTGCCGCAGCTACCACCACATCAACTGAAATAAAAGGACGAATCTCAGCTACAGCTGTTACCTGTGACTCTCTGAGCAGAGCAGAGATGATGATGATGATGAGGATGAGGATCAACAGCCTTCGTTCACCAGCTCCTCTCGGTGTTGCGCTCTGGCTGAGGCGCGGACGCCGGTGCGCACGTCTTATATACGGTACCGGCTCCGTACAGCTGCCCTTAATGGTTAATGGTGGTTAATGGTTACACCTCTTGCTTCTCACTCAGTCACTCCCTCCCTTTCTGCCCTCTGCGTTCCTTCCTCCTGCGTTAGTAAGGGCTGTGTGCTATTTAGTCTTACCCCGCTACACTGCACGGTACAGTGGCCCCCGCCGCCCGGTTCCTGCCTGCTAACACACCCGTCTAGTGCAGGGGGCCGGGAAATAACAAGGCGGGTCCTTCCCTCCACACTCTCAGATGACGACCCAGCGCTGAATCCCCCTCCACCTCCTCCTCCTCCTCTTAACCACCCCTCCCCTCTCTGCTGCGCACATGCCCTCACTCTGACACCCGCGTGTGTAGAAATGTGTCCCCGTGTGGTGCCAGTCTCCCCCACACGGCTCAAGTCTGCATGGTTACCGTCGAGAGGACGAACCGAGAGGAAAGTTTTAATTTAACAACACAGCCAGCCTCGGTTTTCTCAATGAATGACCATACACGCACATCACCACTGAGCAGCACAGACTGCTGGTCACTCATCATCCACTGAGTGGAAATGAATACAAGAAAGTCTTATCTAAGCCAGAGTGTTGCAACACTGACCTAAAACACACGGGGTCAGGGATCCAAAACGTAACAGATTGGATTTTACCAGTGCAACAACATTCAAAGGTATAAACATTTCTTCACTAATTTGAACACATCCTACACATTTTGTGTCCTAAAATGTTAAATATAGGTAGTCTACTTTAGTCCCTGTGGTACTGTAACTGAGTTTGCATGTCGTTCCCGTGTGTGAGTGTCCTTCTCTGTATACTCCGATTTCATCCCTTATTCCAGGGATGTTCAAATTTTTGAAATCTCTTTGAAACTGAGAGCTACTTCAAGGGCACGTTGTAATACAAGGAGAGCTACTTGTTTAATACAGACTTCCCGAACAATGTAATAATAGTTCTGGGACAACACAATACAATAGCAGACACTCTCCTTATCATCGTCACTGCACCTATGTGAATATCATTGCAAGTGTAACTGATTCAAAAAGCACAGTTACAGTACAATTTCTGACCCTCTTGTTGACTCGTTTCCTTTGTTAGAACATACCCCGCAGGCACCTTAGGTACTCCACCAGGTGCCCCCGGGCACCACGTTTGTGACCCCTGGTCTAAGATATGGGCCAAAGGGAATTGGCATATCAAACATATTGTTGTGTCGTGCTTCGACCAGAAATATTGAATATGAACGGACAGCAAAAAATATTTTTCTTCAACAAAATAAATAAAAAAAATATTTAATTTAAAATCAAGCAAAAATAAGTTGTTCATAATTGTTGCACATACAAAGTTCAGTATGACAACTGTTCACAGCCGTCCTCATCCATTCATTATGTTCTGAATAGAATTGGAATTAGGACGTTAAGAATTAAAAAATGACTCACCATGCATATGGATGGGATTTGAACACTGCATTTAACCCATCTAGTAAACATTAGCACATACTTTTCACTATAGACTGAGCTCTGGTGGGCCACTTAAAATGATAAGGTGGGCTGCACCTGGCCTCATGTGTGCCTTAGTCCAAAAGCATACAGGGTTCGTTTGTGTCATTATACAGAGCAGCAAGTTGTACGGCACTGAGATCTACAATGGCTTGAATAATTTGTTGCTAAGATATATTGCAGACTTTGATCAGTAACCGTTTGATCCTTTGAACTAAGACAAAGAAGCTTGTCATATTGTCTGAAAGGTTGTTTTTTTTTCTTGTGCCATCCATCTGGCACAGAAGCCATCTACTGTATGTTGTGCACAAGACCTAAACACATTTAAAAATTATAATTATTTGACATCTCTCACTCTCAATAAAAGAACTGGAGAAACAGGTTTGTGATCTGCAAAGGTCTTGCTGACACTGGCACTGCATTTAAATATGCCTCATGCCTCGTATTCACAGCATGTAATATTAACAGGTTTTGTTGTGTGTTTCTTGTGTGTACACTTCATTGTGTTTTGTTTGAAAGTGCGTGCAGCCTCAGCCACTTTAGATACAGTACATCCTCAGTGAGCAGCAGTCCTGACAACCTCCCCAGGGAACATGCAGATCTGTTGGGCTGCTAGCTTGTTGCTACACGGCTGCAGCAACATCCACCATTATTATATTACATTAGCAATGAGAAAACATGAGTCATTTCTTCTCTTTTGTGGTAATATCTATATCAGCCTTGATGGAATGAGACTCTAAGTCTTTTGTGGTAATATCTATATCAGCCTCGATGGAATGAGACTCTAAGGGGTTTTTTTTGGGTTTTTTTTGCTGTAGTGTTTCCAGGCTTGTTTTACTCAGTTTTTTACAATACTAGAAAAAACTATATATATATAAATAATGTAACATATTTATATAATGTATTATATATATATATATATATATATGCAGTGCCATATATATATATATATATATAAACAGGCCTAGCGTTTATTTCAGCAACATTATGTCCAGCAGGAAAGTTAAATACTGCTACAGAAAAGAATAAGGCAATCACAGATGTCAGACCTGCCCTCTTGTGGGGTGGCGAGGTATTGCACTTTCAATTAGAGAAATAAACAACAGCCTTCTCATACATAAACTAAACTCTAGGTGGCGTATGGGAGGTTTTGTAGGATTCTTTACAGTGACTTACTGTAGTACTCAAGACCTTTATATTTAAAAAGTGGCATCAAATGAAAGATATATTAGTTAGTTACAATATTGAAAATTTGAAACACACACACACACAGCTCACAGCTAGAGCTACAGTTCTGGGATATTTTCTTCCCTCCAAAGAATTGTATCTTTAAACAACATGAACCTTCATGTCCTAATACTGTGGCAGGAAAAGTAGACTATGGAATACATGCACACGTTACTTATTTTGTTATTGTTTTTACATAAGTCAATATACAGTTTGTTCTTTCTATGTGCAGAACACATAGGTCTTCAGGCGTCTACCCACTGAAACAGGATTATTTATTTTAGCCCTGTTCTGTAAAAGCCAGTTGTCTTACAAGGCTATTTAAAATAGATGAATAAAAGGGACACTCTACTTCAATGATATTAAGGCTAAAATGTAGTTTGTAAAACTATGTAAATTAAAACCTCCAACACACTACAAAGATGTAACACAAAAAGAAATGTTACCAGTGACATTCATCTTTTCTCTTGACTAAACAATTAGTGGTGTTCAAAAAAAAAAAAAAGTAACCCCTTTTAATTGTATAGACTGTTGACAGTTGAAGAACCTTCCACAGTTTGTTGTGTGACTTTTTGAATCAACTCTCGCAAGATATTTTCCAATATAATCAATTATTAATTTAATTCATGTATTTTCAGGTCTTTTCTGGTAGAAAATGGAGGAGTTCCTCTGTAAGTCAGTTTTTAAAAATATACAGCTTTTTTTTTTTTACATGTGCACTGACTTTTCAAATCTTCCAGGAACTGGAACTGTACTGTTCTGTCTGGGTGTAGCAAACATTTACTGGCTTCATTCATAAGTTTTCCACTGAACTTTTGTTGATGATGAAACTCTGTTGATGCTCCACTCATTCACTGTTTGATGTTGACATATTAACTCACTCTCACTGTGGTGATATATGCACAAGAGAGACAGAGGGAGAGAGGGGTAGAGGGAGAGGGGGGAGGCCGAAATAATAAAATAAAATTCCTCAAACAAGGACGTTGCATTCTGGGTGTCCGAACTTCCCTGTTTGAATGAAGAAACTTCAAAAAAACTGTTGGTTTAAAACAGACTTCTACAAAACTCATACTCATCAGGTATCTGAAAGTAACACAAGAAAAGCCATATTTTAGCCCAAAACTACCGTAAATCTGCTATTAAAGCAGATGAATAAAAAGCCACGACACTACTGAGACTGAAGTTAGAAGAATGTGAAAGAAGCTAAAAGTAATTAGTAATAGTGATTAAGCTGTGCCATCTATAGCTTTGGGTATAAATGTATCCATGAACAGGAGGTTTGAAAAATCCACATGTTGCCAAGCTTCAAATATTGTACCAAGAGAAAATAAAACAACAATGGTTCACTTTAGTGTGTATGAGTTTAATGGGAGTCCTCATGATACTACTGTAGTTTGCAGGTACTGCAGTTCTGTGGTACACACTGACTGTGACCCTGGAGGAATGCAGACACAGAGAGTGGAAACTCACGGGTTGCACTTAAGAGGATTCAGGCACTAAGAGGATTCATTCTCATGCCCAGTACACATGATTACACATGATAGAGTGATGAACGCAGCTGAGCCTCTGTACAGTCCTGTCTTTGTAACAAATAACCTTTGCATATCCTAAACTACGTAGGATTGAATAGTGGTCGATAAAAATAATCTGTATTCCTTGAACACAGATTTTAAAAAAAACTTTAGTAATTACTATGGAAACACATGTATATAATATACAAAGTTTAGGAGGGCTATTTGGGGAATAATTATCTTATTACCCACAAGTATGTTTGTTACATATGTATATGTATATAATAGATATACTGTAAACATTGTGCAAAAAGCAGGTATAAATAGGTAAAAATAATAAAAATCGAAGCAAAAATAGAATAGCAGCACAAATATAAATAGTAATAACAACAATAACTAACAAAATAAAATCCCAATATACAGAACTCTACACAGACGCAAGTTCAAGTTCAAGTTTGTCTCCGTGTCAACAATGTCAGTGTGACGGGGGTGAATGAAAGGCTGTATCACAGACTGTCAGTAGACGCAGTGATAGCTGAGTGATTGGGGAGTGGTAACAAGTGCACGGTTCCTGCAGCCTGGCACGGACTGCTTCTAGTGGTTAATGATAATTCAGCCTCATTTTCCACACAAGGAAGTGAGATGAGAAGGGAGGACAAAACAGCAACGGAGGCCTGCAGCACCTCGGCCGAGTGACTGTCTATATTAATATTATAGTAATTTAATGTATTATCCTCCTGACTACCAGGAAGAAAATATTGTCCAATCACTTTTTTTTTTAAAAAAAATCTCCAATCTTTGTAAGGTGATTAGTCATGCCTTTCACATTTAGTATCATTTTAAAAAGCCCTAAATGTGTCCATTCAGTGGGAGACAGTCAGGTTTACAAATGTCCTCCACAGAGGACACATATGAGCTACTGGTAGTCAGCATAATACTGACAATATTAGGATATTACTGTAAAATACTGCCCACTACAAGAGACATTTCTTGTAGTATGTTTCATAGGGCGGCACTGTCATATCCTTCCATCCCAGAATTCCTGGCAGCAGCCCTGTCTGTAGGTAATATCAGTTCTCTTGTAAATCCCCCCTTTTTATTTCTTAAACTGTATTTGTAGATAGAGAATATATAGAACACAATAAAAGTAAAAAGTAACCACAGTCAAAGGATGTTGTGATCTTTGACCCCTGGCTCTTGTACTAGGGATGCTTTAGCATTTTTAACTGCTGTATAAACAGGAACAGAAGACTGCAACTGTGCATATGTGTGTGTGTGAATCTGTGTTGACCTGTGTTGACCAGACACTGTGCAACATGGAAATCTTTTTGTCAATGAAGGAAAACCGCAGTGAATACTTCACTGTGGTCGCCAGTATGTGTGTGCATGCATAAATGGGTGAAGAGTAACCTGTGAGTAACAGTGCTGAGTGCACGCAGGTCATCTATTAAACAAAGCAGACATCACTGTTACATCATGGAGAATTGAAAACTCAGTCAGAATCCTTCCAGGTCAGAGCAGAGCAGTGAGTTACTATGTATCAAAAAGTGTACATTTTTAACCTTGTTGAAACCCTGCTGAGGATTAGAAGGATCATCAAGCATGGTTAAGGCTAGGTCACTGATTATGCTGTTAAAATTCTTCTTACATTTAAAAACTTCTACGAAAAATAACAATCGTATTATTTTATTTACATAGTTATAGTAAATAGAACAAAACACTCAAACCTAATTACATGACCCCACATCACACAGAACCTGCTTCTATGTAGAGTCCTGCTTCAGTCCGTGTGTGCAAACACTGCCATCTAGTGTGCACAGATGCAATGCAACAATAGATACCATCCCATCACTGGTCCTCGTAATATACGGTATATCATAACAATCCAAACAATGAGTACAAGTACAAGTACAAAAAAAGTTAGGGTTTTACTCACAGCTGGATTTCAGCGGGGGAAAGCTGCGCAGCGCTCTGGAGGCCGCCCCATGACAAACCCGAGGTTCCCCCGAAACTGAGAAGCCGGGTATCCAAGCCGGTGAGCCAGCAGAGACCACGCGGTCCTGTCCTTACGTCCGTCATTATGAGAAATGGACATATTAACGAACCGGAATCACAGGGGATATTGAGAGTGTTGCATCTTATTGTACACAGGAACATGGGTGGACCTTTCTGCTGTGTCGACAGAATCAGTACATTTCGGTGGTGAATAAAGTACTGTCCCATACTACTTCCCAAACAAACAGTTATTGCTACTTCTGGCTTAAATCGGTCCAATTGCTTCAACATTGTACTTGTCAAAGGTCCCGCTTGAAGGACCTGTTGCTAGTACGTAGTACGTACGTTTGACAGTTCGAATGACAGTATGGCGGGGTTTTACAAAAGGCCTCTTCCGGTTCCTGTGAGCGACGCAGCAGTAAGCAACATATTCCTACAAAATAAAAGTTAACGCATTATAATAATGGTCGGCGTTATTTAATTAATGACTAAAAGCTATAATAACGAGTTAAATATATATATATATATATATATATTCACACACACACAGACACACAATGTAACTAATGCAACTTCAACCAGCCAACGTTGATGTCCTTTCTACACATTTGTTTGAGTGAAAATGCATAAATTCAGGCCACACATTTGTCATATTTTTAAATGCATTTCATATTGAACAAGTCAATGCTAGGTTTAACAACACTCAAAATGTATCACAGTAGTTTAACATTCTGTTTTTTGACCTACTGGATTCCTAAAAATGCCCTCAGTACTCTTTGTGAAACCAAAGAGCAAAGTTGCTATTAGCACTATATTACCTATGCAGAGAATAATTCAAAGTTGGTAAAATAAAAAAGTGAGATAAAAAATAACAAAAACAAAAATAAAGAAAAGAGGTGAAAAGATAACATTCAAGTTACCAGAGATTGAGATAATGATGCTAGCTAAAAATTAAATTATTAGTGAGATGGAAAAATGTAAAATAAAAGATGGATAAAGGTTAGTTAAAAGATATGCAAATCAAATGTTGATAATACGAGCAGAGCTGTTTGAGGGCCAACAAATACTCCTTTAAAATGATTTCACATGCATGTTCTAATTTAGTGAAGTTAAAACATCTGAGGCCAACAACTGAATACATTTCACTAGCTAATTTGTTTGTTATTTCAGTGCTTGCATTAAGTCTATAGGAATGCTTCTAATGCAGTCTAGACATGACACATCAGAGACAGACAGCATTTTCTATACAGTATAAGTGAAGTGGAGTGAAACTGAATTATTCTCAGTGACACAATGAAATGTGTCCTCTGCCTTCAACCCATCACCTTAGCCAGCAGGGGAGTGCCCAGGGAGCAGTGTGTGTAGACAGTGCCATGCTCAGTGCACCTTAGTGGCTCCTGATGAATGGTGGATTCGAACCTGTAACATTCTGGACACAAGTCCGCCTCCTTAGCCACCAGGTATAAATCAGTGTCATCACCTGTGATCGATGGTAACCAGATATAAAGCATTGTGTAAATATGGCATAGATCAATTTTAAATGTGGCAATGACAATTGTACGTTCAATTCTTAGAAAGCTGTGAACTTTAAATACATACAAACAAAGACACAGAATCAAATATAAAATGCATAAATATCATTCCTTCTGTCTAAAATGCTAAAAGTGATGGCTGCAAAATACATTTTCCCCAGATCTGCACTACAACGTACAACATAGAAGTCTCACATACAACAGGTATCGAGCAACAGCCTACATAGCAACAATGCTCACGAGGCCCACATTTAGACATGATGTGCAATCCTTGAGTGGCCCACGTCTGGGATCTAGAATGGAGAACACATCTGGGATCAAGAATTTGATCCCTATCTGAAATTAGGAATATGGTCCACTTTTAATATCAGCAAATAGCAAATAGATTCATCTAGTTTCCAGTAAGAGCTGAACATCTACTATCCAGAATGTGACCCAAGTATTGTTGTCAAGACCTTAGACCAATCCGGTATGATGTGATGTTGTTCTATTCCTTGTTTGGCAGAATGTAGTCAACCAAAATGTATCCAAAATATAGCCCACTATTGATATCCACGATGACAACATTACAGCAATCCACAATTTGGTCAACATCTCTGCTGAACTTTAACCAATGCTGTCCCAACTCACAGTGATACCACTCACTAGATACCAGACATAGGCCAATCAAGGTGTGTTATTTACCACTGTTTACAAGTCGCCCTTTCAATGGGCAGAAAACCACCTTCCTCTGTAGAAAGAATGTTATTAAAAAGAGAGCCAGCTCCTTCGTTGTGCTTCTTCGCGGATGCCCGTAGGGGGCAGTATTTGACATGACATTTCCTGTATTGTACACTCTTACATTCCAACTCTCCTTATTTTGTCCTTTGGTCTTGTCTTTACACTTTACACTTCTGTTTGATTCAGGAGAAGTGAAGAGAGAAGATGATGTGGATGATGTAGACTTAGACATACTCTTCTTCTTTGACATAAAGGATCTCGTGAGCTGAACTGGGAACCTGGGAGAGAGAAAGAAAAAGAGAGAAATACTGAACCGACCCACCAGTCAAATTTTGAACCTCATTTTGGTCCGCGAGCCAATGTATGGTCTATACCCGTGGTATTGACCATACATAAACACAATCTGCTGCACCTGGTTAACACCTCCCACCACTAGGAGGCGGTCTCTGACAACAATAGAGGAGGCAGAGCATCGTGGGAAGTTCATAGGAGCCAACCTTTCCCACTTCTTCCTTTGAGGATGAAATGCCTCCACTGTGTCCAGAGCTGAGGGTTCGTGACCTGAGGAAGTCGGAAAGAATAAATCCAGCTGTATTTATACAATTATACTGTATTTTATTTTGTTTTCTGATGTGAGCAAACCCTGCATTTAAATAAAACATTTTTCTGACTTTACAGCCAATTTACAAATGGTAATGTTAAGGTTGCAACATACCATTCCAGATGTTAGGTACCCTCTCACCACTCACCAAGTCCACCTGCTACAACCATCCTGCCACGAAGAAATGCAGCAGCAAAATCTGCTCTTTTTGTCTTCAGTGCCACTGTGTCCTCTGACTTTAACCATATACCTACAAAAGGGGAGGAGAAGAATAATTCAATACAACTTTTTCATACCAATACAGACGCTGCAACTTGGAGTATCTGCCGATACCAATATCAATCCAATACCTTTTTTTCTCCTCCAGCATGCTGTGGGCGGCCGTTGCTGCGGTGATAGTGTCCCTGTTTACGGCATGTCGTGGAAATTTACCTTTTTCTCCTCCAGCATGCTGTGGGCGGCCGTTGAGCATTTGGGCTTAGGTATCAGATTGCATGGGCTGCAGTTGTTTTCCTTATGTTTGGTTCTGAAATTTTAACCAGTATTTGACTGATACCAATCCTGAGTTTTAGAAAGAGGCATCCCTAATAATAATTTAAAAAAGAGCCATTTAGCCTAGTGTTACTACTTTACTTATTACACACAGAAGACAAGAGTAAAGCAGCCCAGTGCATGGTTAAGATATCAGTAAAAATAAAATTTGAATTTGAAAATAATAATTTGAATTTTATTGATCCCACGTTGTCGAAATTGTTGTGTTAACCACAGATCTGCTCAAACAGGCTGCCCCTTGGACGTAGATGTAAAAACACATCTATGTCCAGATGTAAAAACAGCTACAGTAAAGTTTGTCGCACATTTCCCCCATATTTGTATCTGCAACATATATAGTCAGACCATAGAAAACCAAATTCTGTGTTTTTCTGAATATTCCCATGTTTAATACTTGTTTTTGTTTGTGTCCTTTCAGGGCTTTTTCTCAGTATCTACCGATTCCCACTTCATTCTTCTACTCTATCTTATTTATTTTCAATCTTTTCCTTAAACAAGAGGTAAAGACAACACGGTCAGGACAGAGACACAATCAAGTAGCTAGATTAGGACAAAGATAAGTGGGCTGATAGTGAGTCTTTGTGTGGGTTGAGTGACAGAGATGAGAATCACGTCGGCCTCGGCTGCCTCATCAGTCTGTGAGTTTTAGTCAATAACAAATGTTGCCTTTTCTCCTAAGACAGGTCAATAAAACCTTGCCTACCAACATAAAAGCAAATGTTTGTTCAGATTTATCTCCTATTGATTCAATCCTGGATCAGACCCTTTGATCAAAGCTTTACACTCTCAGTGTTTCAGGCCACTTAGTTTGTACCTAGCAAACATGAATAAACAAATAAGATCCCAGCACTGACTCGACGGTCAGTTTTATTCCAGATTGATTTCTATTTGTTTCAGAGAGATTTATCAAAGATTAACAATACAATGATATAGAGAAAAAAACTGTATGAAATATTCTTCTGAAGAGGAAGTCTGTGCAGCAGAATAAAGTAGCAGGGATATTGCATAATTAAGGGAACACAGTAGAGGCAGAGAGAGGAAATGAAAGAGGAACACCGTAGGCCAGGCTACTAGGACAGGAATAGTGCTACTAAATAAAGGAATCTAGAATGGCAGAAAAGTACTTGAGGGTGAGACAGGATGTCTGACAAGAAAAGGAGACAGTGGTAAGGTGTGCCATCAAGGTGGCATGTGGGTTTAGGGTTGGGAAAAGTTAGGAGTTAGCTTTTTTTAGTTATCAGTTCAGAAACCAGCAGATTTGGAGTTGAATGCTACGGAGAGTAAGTTACAGATACAGTTTATGACAGCCTCGACCTACAGTGTTTCGTGGTTTCGTCGCCACCTCCCAACAAATTTTGCAAAGAAACTAGTAGGTGAGCAGAGTAGAAGAATGCTTTGTCATGCGGCACTAAACGTGGAAGACGGCTTTGTTTACATTCATTGATTGTACGCCAGTTGCAGAAAAACTGCACCCTCTCTCTCTCTTTTCATTCCAATCTGTTTTCATTCTTTTGTTTGCCTTTCTATTTACTACACAATAGCCGTCAAATAGGAAAAATGAATGACCCATACAACCATTTTGCCACTCGTAAGAGCAGCTGGAAGCCAAAAGTACCAAATATAGCTAAATGTAGCTAAGAAATAAATACACTTTTAAAATTTCAACCATAAGTTAGGTGAGACATTGATAAACATTCGATAAAATTGTACTAGAGATAATATGCAGTGCTGCCATGAATTTCCTGTATCCTGCTATCTGCTTTGTGATTGTTTGTTTTGCATTTATAACAACTTGACTTTATTGCTGTGAAACACCTCTCGCATGAATATGAATGTGTATGTGTATGTGTGTGTGTGTTCCTGAGTGCATGTGTGTGAGTGATATTGTTGCAGTTGGATAATAAAGCAATCTGTTTCTGGCTTTTGTAATCTAAAGCAGTGATTCCTCGCTCCCTCCCACTGCAGCTCATCTCCTATCTCATCTCCACCAAAATTAGATTTAGAACTGGGGTGCAGCCACTGTTTCCTTATATGTGTGTGGATATGCATCAGCATCTCCGTGTGGACACCGGGGTTTGTTGAAAGTTTTTTCTCTTTTCTGCTTTTATCAACCGACTAACACACAGGCAAACATACGTAAACACACAAAACAAATGCTCCTTCCCTTGATTAGCAATTAATAACATTATGAGCTCATGTTCTGGTTGATTTGGCTTCAATCCCACCAATCCCTACCTAGGACCATATAACCAAATGTTCAAAATGACTTATTGATTATGCTCCCTGCACCCTCGCTTTTCTTGGGTCCCTCCACAATTTGTTCACCTGTTACTCTTGGGTGCCTTTGCCAGATGGAGGGATAAGTCATGCTGCTGCATGGTTGGACATAGAGTGTGCACAGATTTAAATGGAACTTTGAGCAGTTGGAGAAGAAAAGTAAAGGAGTCTTTCAGCTTAAGTAGAGATCAATGTAATAACTAATTTGTGTAATTCTAAATAAATGCTAAAGCTAGGTGCTTCAAACTAAAACAGATACTGAATGACACATTTCCAAAATCTGGCCCCGGGGGCCAATCATGGCACCTGAACACTGAGCGTATAAACCAGAGGCTCTATTTTTCAAAATCCCTATTTTGTTTAGCCTTAAGGAAGAAAAATTCTCCTTTCTTGAGGCTAAATCTTAGCTTCTATCCTTTTGATATGTTTCACCTATTTTGAGGCGAATTATTCTGACTATACATTGAAAAGCCCAACTGCAGCGCGGTTTGTTTAACTTACAATTGTGTTATCAAACCAGCTCCAGAAGGAAATAGTTGCTTACATCCACACTGTGTCGTCTAACTTAAATCCCGTAATTAGTCAATTGGAACCTAATAACTCCAGGGAAATGAAAGAACGCATAGCATCATCAATCACATAGATGACAAGATCAATAACTAAGTCACCCGCAAGACCCTATGTGTGAGTATAGAGCAGGGGCAGTATGTTAGTTTGGACGCTACTGACATTTGCAATTGTGAAGTTTCCACCAGCCAAGATGAGCACATTTCAATAAAAAAAATAGTTATTTTCTGTCATAAAATATTCAGCCAATACATTCTCTAATGTCTTATTTCTGTGTTCTCCTTACTGACACCTTCTTATCTCCATTCTGGTATTGTAGAGAAAATAAAGAGGATCTTATAATTGATCTAATGGAGATAAGTAGGGATGTAATGATGCATTATGAATTGGTTAAAAATCAATTGACTTGCGTGTACGTTGGAAGTACACTAGATTTAGTGGCACGTTGTGTTATACATTGTGCTATATAGTGGACAACTTCACTCAAACACATTCTGCCACCACTACAAAATGGAGTGCCCCCTATATAGTGCAGGGTGTTGGGAGTGGTTTTGGACACAGCCAGTATTGATTAAAACGTGTGTTTGTGCACCTTGGTTGGTGTCGAAAATGTTAACGTTCTTCGTAAACTTGGAGCTGTGGTGTCCCCCTCCTTGACGCAGACCTCCAAGCAGACATAGCCTCCCAGTTGGATCCCAGATTACACCACAATATGAACGTTTGCAAGGCATCATGGGCAGGGTCGTCCAAGAGCGCATCTCCACGTCATACACTTCAAATGCCTTTACTGGTCTTTTACAGTGACGACCACCTGAAAGACAAGAATGCAGCTGTCAACATGACACGAGGCTGCTGTGATTTCCCTGAGAAATTTTCCACCAGCACCAGCTCCGTGTCATTGATGAGATCAAAAATAGTTTGGTTTCTTTGCTGACATGGTGCCAGTATGTTTAACTAAACCATTTTTAAACCATTTTATTCACAAAGACAAAATACTGAGCTGGAAGCACTTTATAGTACCTGCCACATAGAGTTTGTTGCCAAGCAGATGTGTGTTAGCATCGTAGCGAGGGGTTGGCATTGGAGGAAGTAAAGCCCATACATCTTTTCGAAGGTCATATTGCTGAAGAATGCTACGAGGAAGCAGGTCACTGGCCATTCCCCCGACAGCCAGGGCGCGTGTATCTACACACACACGGAAACGTGAGTTAAAAATCCAAATCCAACATTACATTTCTACGTAATATATTAACATTTTCTGATCTCTCTGTTCTAATCTTTAGTAACCTGATGTTAAGCACGTAACAGCATCGTGTGTTTACTGTGCTAACAGTTTTCCTACGAAATTCAAGGCCTAACTTTTGCAAACAAAATGTTTTCTTCATCTGTTATTTGCTTTTTTTGGTCACAACTTTTTCAAAAAATAAGAGAGACTGACTCAACAAAATTGAGCACGTAAATAGACTAGTACCCGTTGGTGAAAAAACATCTCTGGTAGCTGAAAAAATTAAAGTGTTAAAAATGTGCTAAAGGCCACGAAGCTGGATGAGACGTTAACAGAATAAGGCAAAAGACCATGACAGATGCAGGGAGGCCAGGCAGAGCAGGAGCAGAATAAAATTGCACTCTTCATGTCTGGCACTTCAGGACGACACTTACAGAATGAGAATTTAGGTGGGCAAGAGTGCTAAAACAAAACAAAAAAAAAGCAAAAGAAAGAAAGCCTTAATCTTGAGCGTGAGGATTAAAATGGGCTGCAGGGGAACAATCTGCATTTTTATTATGTTTTAACTTCATCAAATTTTTATTACACAGTCTTTCTCTTCTCTATTTCCATTGCATATAACTTGCACAAATAACCAAGAATAAAAGAAACTTTGGGGAGTGGGTGATATGAATTGTTGGGGAAAATAAAAGTTTATTACCTAAACTTTATCATCCAATAGCTGGAGAAAAATCTCTAAATGCCAAAGAGAACTACACACTGGCATTGTTTTCATTTGTCCCAATCAATGTCTTTTTCGGACCATTTGTCTCTTGTTCAGCTGCTTAAAAATGAGTTTGTGAATAAAAATACAAACAAACACCTGGTGATCATGATGTGGTGACAGAGATGACAGAGCCGTGTGATGATGCCTATCTAGAGGATATGCTTTTGAGTTAATAATTAGCATGTATTTGGGTCACAGCTTATTTCACCGGTTTTTACTGTCATCTATTATTAAGCAGTAATTTGTACCTTTGACTGTGATGGAAACCCCCATGAGGGCCTCCCGGAGAGCGCTCCTCCTCCTCCACCTCCCTTCCTCTATGTTGTACATCTCCACCACCCTGACAGGACTCTGGTCCTCTCCCACTCCTCCCACTACCAGGATCTGCTTTCCGAGGACTGCCACAGCCGCCCCAGCACGAGGAGTGGGCATCTGGGGTAAACTTATCCAGCGGTCTTCCTGCAGGTAAGCAAAAACAAACAGATACCATTGCCACAAGATCAACCCATACAAACAATGCAAGCAAACAGGTTGGAAACTTTGTCAGAATGAAGGACACATTTACAACAGTATTCAAGTTTAAGTTCAAACCCTTTTAACACTATATGTTTTCAAAAACACTGAAGACAGAACTCTGGATATGGATTTGTGAGGTACCTCCGGAGAGTAGAGCTCAAGACTTGCACACGGCCTCCCTGCAGCGTCGCAGCCCCCCAGCATGTACACCTGTCCCCCAACCTCTGCAAGGGTGCGGTAAACGCGGCCATTAGAAAGTCGTGCCAGGGTCTGCCAGTGGAACTCCTGGGTTGAAGGCACTGCCATGACCTCAGCAGTCTTGCAGAGTCTCACAGCAGACTGGATGGAAATCTACAACAGGACGACAACAGAGAGAAAGACAAAGACATTTACATTTTTCCTTAGATGTACTTTAGTTTTCCGAGAATGCTGAAAGCTAAGTATTCGTTATGTTACAGGTGTGGTTAACCATAGGAGGCAAAAATATCTTTGAAGATTCTGAGTTATCCGGGTCATGGTCAAGGTTCAAGAGTTCCGTTAGGCAACTGGACTTGAAATTTTCTCAAGAAGACGTAAGGCAACGTAAAGAGTTTCAAAATGACAAACCCCAACTCACACCTCCAAATGTGACCTCTGCTTTTAAAGTGACCAGGGGGCAGCATTAAGCACCCGCGGAGCAGTGTGTGGGGACGGTGCCATGCTCAGAGCACCTCAGTGGTAACTTGGCAGCTGGTTGAACCTGAAACCTTCCGGACCCAAGTCTGCTTCCTTAACAACTAAGCCACCACTGCCCCTACCCCTAAACACAACACCAGTGACTTACTTTGTTTCCATTTTGTTACATACAGCCTAAACCTTTCCAAACTACTTCTTAGTGAATATGTTGTACCCCAACTACTTCCTGCTACAGTGCATTAGTTTCCTTTAAAATGAAAGTGTGTTTTGTGTTATCTTAGGTTCAACCACAATGTGAAGCCCTCATCTACCCAACTGTCACAAACACAAAAGAAATACTATGGAGAAAGACAGAGATTTCAGTATCTCAACAAACACTGCTCGTCCCACAGACACACACGGAGAAAGAGAGGAGGAGATAGAATGTGGAGTGTGGGCTCAGTAGTGACAATGAAGTTTACCAGGACAGGGAACAGCCTGGATAAAGACCAAGTGGAAACCTTTTCCAGAGACACTGTGGAACTTTAAGCTAAGCCGTGAGGAGAACCGAAGGTCAAATTGGTTTTTTGTAGTATCTGTCAAGAACTTAAAGACAGTCTGAAGGGTGTATTTTTGCCGTGAACATTGGACAGTAAATATATGCTTTGCTTTTCAGGCCTAGATGACCATTAAAAAAAGAACAAAAGAACACTCAAATATGACACTTACACAATCACAATCTCTCAGTCACCTCTTTTCATAGCACATCTACAAGCCTTTATATCAACCTTCCTGTGTAGATTTATAACTACAAAAATACAGAATACATAAATAAACGCAGATAGTTAAGATTTTTATACAGCAAGAAATTTAGCGGTAATCTAAACTTAAAAGTACTATATTTCTGACCACACTAGTGTAAACACACCCAGTGGTGTTTAAGGTGCCAGCTGGTGTCTAAGTTTTTTTTTCAAGGTTAAAGGTAGTACTTTTGAGTGAGAATATAATTAATATAAAATGTGACTGCGCACCTATACGCTTCATCTCCATATTTCTTCTCTCTTTTCACTGCCAGACTTTATCATGTCATTTTTTGATCATCTCTCGTCATAGACATATTAGCACAGATTGAAGAAGAACAAAGGAATGTCTCTCTAAAAGACTTTTTTTCATTTTTTATGCATTTGGGTCCGTTGCCAAGCAACAGTGAAGTTTTCCCAGCAGCCACAGTTGTTGTTGTTGTTTTTTTTTCCTTCATTTTTATCTCTTTTGCCTGATTGCTTATCGCTTGGTTTGCTGTTAATAATGCTTTATGAAAAAGGATGAAAAACAATCACAAGTGTTTGCTCTCTGATAGGCTGACCCCGGCAGGCGTGCACATAATAATGAGGCAGGACAGTTCTCTCCATGCACCACTCACACAGTGTATTAATTGCAATCTGTAACTGATTTGGTTCATCACATAATTTTTTTAATTAACTGCATGAACAGCTTGAGATCAACACTTAGCCTACCAGCATCATTTAAAGTCACTTACAATCAGCATGCCTCCGACTTAAAACTTTTAATTAGGTTACTAAGGCACTCTTGGATCGCTATACCGCACTGGGACCTGTTTTCGATGTACAGCTGCTAAACGCTCTATTAATATATTTTATTATCATATCTTGTCTTATCAAAAGGAGCTAATCAAGTTTATCATTATCAGGCTGTAGAGCACAAGGAACCAAAGTCCGGAATGAAGACACGGATCTGACCTTCCCATTCCCATCCAATGAAGACACGGATCTGACCTTCCCATTCAGGAATAAAACTAAAGCAATAGGTACTTCAGTGTAAGCAAAGGCAAATTTTGGGAATGACTGGAAAAGTTTGAGAATCACTGCTTTACTGTAGGTCTCTTTCTTGTCTAATATTATTATTAGATGTTTATTTCGTCTTTTGACGATTCGGCTAGCCAATCGATGATCACTGTCGTAGGTAATATCTTCCATCTGGTCTGATATTTCTACATTACTGTTTCTTGGGTTGTAAAGGACTTCCATCTTCAAAGTGCCGACACACTGATTTGTGTGCGTAACAATTGAATTATTGTATTTATCTTATTGCACTACACACTGCTGTTGTTTGACATGGTTCAGAAATTATCCCCTGAGCTACCACAGCCAGTTCACCTCCCGGAAACTCACTGCGGTTCTGACTCAAACTGACTCACCTACTTGCACTGTACATCACTGAGCAACACAGATTAAACTAACTTTTGCCAGAAAAGAACTGCAAGAATCCTTCCGTGTCTGAAAAAATATCAGCTCCTTATCAATCTTCGATATACAAAAACTGTACTACAATCAATTGCAAATTATTCTCATGACTGGTATGCACTCATATTTTTATAGACTGCCAAAAAGAACAGATGGAGGGTTTTGTAGAACTATAAAAAACATATCAATTTTGGGAGAACATTAGCAAATATGACAACTGCATGGCATGCTTACTAACATTAGTGAAAAAAATTGAATTGTCAGTGTATTAATACTGTGAATTGAGGTTGCTGTCCTGAGTGTTTCTTCTTCTATGGTTCAACACGGTCTAAGATGTTGCCAAAAGTGTGTTTTAATGGTTCAGTTTTTTCTTTTACCTCATTGTTTGAACGTAGCTAGCATGCTCCCCAAACTATTGTACTGCAGTTGCTCCCCTTAGCTTCATTTACAATATGCTGCTGCTGATTCGCTAATTTTCATATTTGGAAATAACAAAATGTTCCAGGCCAGCTGGTACGTTGTCTGTACTGGTATTAAAGAGGTAAATAAGATGCCTAAATCCATCAGCAGGGGGTGCAGTTTTTATGGTGAGAGAACTGAGATTAAATACTTCAAGACTTCAAGATTGGGTTTATTTGTCATATGCACTTTCAACACAGGGTCTACAATGCAATGAAATGCTTGGGATGGGGGGACCGTAGACTCGCTGGGGTAACATAGAACACACAGTACTAGCAGCATGCGATACTACTACAGGGAATAAGGTAAGGAATAGAGGGAGAAAGGGGGGATAGTAACAGTGCAGGCAGTGCAGGAGTAGTGCGACACAAGATAAGGACATCTAAGTACAACACAGGTAAGAGCATTAACACACGGGGTAAGAACTTGTAGAAACACCGGGGCAAAAACATAACACGGGATTGGAACATACGCACACACAGGGACATAGGTTATTGCACATGTTGTCGTAGTTAGAAGTTATTGCACAAGCACCTGTGCCTTCTGCTTGTTGTGGTAAATACTGGCACCAGTGTTCAAAAAAGGAAATAGCCTACTTGGCCGCTAAGTGTGATTGTCATTGTTCTGTTTAACAGGTTCATGTGCTCTGCTGACAGGTGCAGTAAAACTGAGAGCACTGTCACTGTAGCAACTAATATATTCTATCAAATCAAAGTTTTAGTTTTAGGAGACTGAAAAAAGATTAAAACCCAACAATGTATCACAAGCAGTTTAGAACAGAGAGCTACAAAATAGTTAATGTTGACAAAGAAGGTAAGTACTTCAATTTTTCAGAATCAATATATAATAATTGAAGAGATAATTGCAAAGAGACAAAAAGCAATTACAATACCAACAACAATAATTATAATAATAATAGTAATAAATGTGATGTCACTCACTATTTAATTTTTAATTCACCAAACATAGTTGATGAATCCTGTCAGGGTAAGGTCAACTGGTAATTTACTAGCAACTACGCACTTCACATCAGGAAACATTCAACAGTTTCCATCCATTGACATAGTCCAGGGTTTTAACAGTCATCAGTCTCTTTTTTTAAATAAGCTAACAGTGACAGAAATGGACAGAGTTCAGTTCTATAACGAGGGCTGTCAGGGAGTACACAATCCAGATGGCAAATTAAAGTGCTCTGAATTACTGATGATGTGTGCGTCACTCATGCTGCCGTAAAGAACATTATGTTTTTTGATGCTGCGTTTGTGGTTTGACACGTGACTACAGCTGAAACAATGGAAATGGAATGGAACTATGGTGTGGCACTGAACAAAAGCAAGGATTACCAAAGTACACAAAACCAGGCTTGATGACATTCCTGCACTGCTGCAATATCTTGTTTCATAAGAACTACGTACATACAACTTCCAAAGCGCTGTGGTATGTCCCTGAAGCACAGTGCTGCACCATCCACCACCAGCTGAAATACTCATCCACTCCTTGGTGGAGTGGTTCTGCTTCCCTTCACTGCCTGCTGTGTAGGAGTAAAAATTAAGAGTGAGCTAATCCAGTGTGACAGTGCTGTGGAAGTGGAGCAAGAAGTAGAGGACCAGAAAAATACAGTGACGATGGAGGAAAAATGGTGGAAGAAGTGGGCTAATGTTAAAAAAGGTGGAGGATATGTAATGAGATGGGGGAATAGTTTCAAAGGGTGGTGATAGAAGCTGCGTGGTAAAGCGAAAGGGTTATACTGAGCACAGTCTCCATTACAGAGGGGAACCAGAGACATCATAATCCCTGTGGCCTTATAAGTAATTACTTTGTGATAGAGAGAGAATGGCAAGACCTATCTGCTGTCAGCAGAATTGGAATTAACTCCCTAATGGTTTTAGCCTGCTGTACCCTGATTTTGCCTGTGTGTGTGTGTGTTTGTGTGTGTGTGTGTGTGTATCCACAGCCCTCTTAACATTTGAGAGGTTAAATTTCAGAGTGAGAGCATTTCTGAGGGAAAGGATATTTTCTGTCCAATTGAGAGTAGGTTTAAAATAAAGGTTTGCAGCAATATTTAAACACAGTTCTACTGCCTGGAGTACACTGGTACATGCAATGACAGTGTATTAAAGATACAAGTAGTTTTTTTTTTAGGTTTACTTCTAAGTCAACCAGCTGGTAGGGCTGTCAAAAAAATCCAGGTGCAACTTCTCATGTGGAAGATTATATAGAAATGGATCTAGCCACAGGCATGACCAGGCAAAGACTGAGGCTCATGGGTAAAGAGAGAGGGTTAAGAGACTAAATCTCATTTAGAGAACCTAGCTCATGGTTGCTTTATTATTGCTTTAAAAAGTTTTAGTACCACAACATAACAATGGCCTTATGTTATTGTTATGTTACAGTTATGTTATGTTGGACAGTCTCCTCTCTCCCACAAACAAAGTCAAACATCTGGAATACAACGTTGACGTAACTTTGGTGCGTACCAACCCAGGATTATTTCTTTAAATAACATTTCATCATCATCAAAGATCTTAAACTACAGAAAGCATAGTTTAGGTGAACGTGATTAATGCTCTCGGAGAAATTAATGTAAAAAAGGCAACTTAATTCAAGCTCACAACGCTGAGGCAAAGCAAAAAGGCACTTTTTGGTACTTTTTTAACTGAAATTGACAATGTCAGCCACCTTGTCATAAAACGATGAGCCATTGCCAGCATTGACATGTGGAGAAACAGACAGTCTTAACACTCCATCAGTTTGAAACGCTTAGCTAACTCTGACAGGAAGCAGCTCTGCACTCTGTTTCTATGTCATTGCTAAGCTGCAAATCAAACTGCATGGATTCAACCAAACCTGCTACCCATCATGGCTAGCATTAAACGTCAATACATATGTATATTTGTATACGTGTGCATGAAAAGAAGTAATTAATTGTTGATGAAACAAGAACAGATTAGTGCAGGAAGCAGGGATGAAAATGGAGCTAAAGAAGCCGGCAGGTGAGGAAGAGAAAATGATAAAACCACTGTACCTTCAGGAAGTAGTCCCAGGCAAGTGGAAAGCCCAGGGGATTTGTCTGTGATGTGAATCAGCAACCTGTGAAAAACAAAAGACCATGAGCAACCCAGTCTGCAGTGTCCTCTTTACGTCATTGACTGTCTATTAAAATTGATGTAGGTATCAGGGACAAATTATGGTTGCATGATGAAGCTACAGAGCAGCTAATAGTTTTTATGGTTTAGTTTATTGCGCTATTCCATATTTAGTGACTTCTATGATAAACACCCACATCAATTGTGTAGATTCAAATCTGATAATTACAACATAGTGTAAAGGCTCAAGAATTGTTTTGTAGATCCAGCTGTTGTACTCTTGTGTAATGAAAGTAGCATGCCACACCAACGGCATTAATGAAACAACTTTCCCACATTGTAACAATGCCACACCAACGGCATTAATGAAACATAACTTTCCCACATTGTAACATGTGCATATTTCTGTTACAGTTCCAACAGTGTGGACAAGTTATGACCTTGAAATTTATAGTCAAGCTTAAAGTTTTAGAACTTTTGAAGTGAGCGAAATTTGGAGGAGCATGACAAATTCCTCCTGGGAAAAGGGAGAGGAAGAAATGTCAGTTTCCCCTCTGTGCCTGTGTGCTCTGAAGTGCAGTGAATACTAAGTGAGTGACCTTTTAGATAAAGTTTGATGGGGGTTTTTTATGCACTGTCCATATTGTCACAAAGAGTGTTACAGTAGATCCATCATCAATCACCATGCCTGTGACAAATGCTGTGAAGAAACCGATTCATGTTAAAACAGGAGTGTCAATAAAGTTACTTTAAAATACTATTATAATACATTTCACTTACAGAAAAGTTTTTTTTGGCATACATCGTCAGTAGGACTGAATATTATCATACGTGCAACACCGAATAACCATCCGCCACACTTTTGATTTAACGGCTACATCAGCATTAAGCTATCTATCTATCTATCTATCTATCTATCTATCTATCTGTCTGTCTGTCTATCTGTCTGTCTGTCTGTCTATCTATCTATCTATCTATCTATCTATCTAATTTTCTTAAATACTGTTTTCTGATATGGGGCTCTAATGTCTCATTACATTTCAACATTCTCTGTTTTATATCCTCCATATTTTATTTATTAATTGAGAATAATAAATGGCAGCTCGCTACGTTAACTGTGCATTTAGTGACAGATTTGTTTTCTTCCTTCGTGGTAGCTCAACATGCTGTCAAGCCTAGTGATAGTGTCTAACTAATAAAAATCCTTAAAATATGCTAATAATGGAATTTGTTTTCATGATGTCTTATCCAGTAGATACATACAAACCAAATAAAGCTCCATGTCATGTACATTAATAACATGATTAATGTTTACAGTCGACATTAGTTTGGTAATATTCCTTCAAACACAGCTGTTTATAAACTCTTACATTAAGTAAAGTAAAATGAAGTAAAATAAGCAAACGTTTTGACACACAAAAATGTAAATATGTACAGTATAGTGTGTATATTAAATAATAATAGAACACACAACAATATCCTCATTCAATATTGAACATTCAATCATAAACCTTTGTATTATCACAGAAAGATTACAGACTGAAGACACCACATTTTTGACTGAATATTATAAAAATAAGACATCTGAAATAAAAATAATATTAAAGCTGCTATAGCTTTTACAACGTAAACTTTGTGTTTGAACTGAATGAGGTCTTCCTGATATTCCTACTGTCTCACATCCCAGCTTTAGCTTTACTCACTTTACCCGCTCCAGTCGCACCGTCACTCGGTATGAATGTTTGCAGCTTCTCCTTTCCCTCCACCGCGGCTTTTCTTCACTTCGACGTACAGGGAAGCCGAGCGTCAACTCACTCGAAGCCAGGCGTCGAAGGAAGACGACGACGACGCAGAGATGCTAACCTTCTGGATGCTGCTGCAATCGGAGAGAAAAGTCGGGGAGCAGCGGCGGAGAGCAGCAGTGAAGACAGCGGTTCACAGCTCACACCGCCATAATGTGGGACACAGATAAACTATTCATCTTTATCGCTCGAATAAACGTTGATCCTCCCGATGGTACAACCCGAAGAGAGATAGCCTGTGTGGAGTGATAACCTAGATTTAGTGAGAAATAATTCTGCTCCATATAACACGTGGCTAACAAGCGGCTTTTCTGTCATTTCAAAGCATTTTTTTTTTATTTTGACTGGCGAAAACAGGGCCCTAAAGGTTAAGTGCACAATTTCAGCTGGCCAGATTGGTAAATAATAATAACCGCATATTTGACTTTGTCACCCATGCATTGCAAACTGTCGTTGTGATTTATTGGTATCGTAAACAAATCGATCTCACCGGTACAGGGTGTTCAGCAGCCATAATGAAGGAAGCAAATTAAGGGGGACGTAATGTAATCAGCAATTTAAAATTAATTCACTATATAATTACTTCACTAATGAAATCTTATTCTAATGGCTTATAAACGTATATTGAGACATTGGTGCCTGCTAAAAAAGAACATAAACAGGAGGAACTGGCCATAAATCCAGACCCACCTCTACCTCCTCTATAACTGCACATTAAATGTGGGCATACAGTTTCCAGCCATGGGTAATTTGCGACCCCTGTCTCCGGTACAGCTTACTGGTTTGAAACATACACACAAAAAAAAGATATAGATACTTGAATTAATAATTACAGTGCAAGTACTAGACAACTGTAAATATTTGAAATTAATAATGGCTGTTGGCTCGGATATTGGTTTATTATGTAGTTGTGTTTAATATTTTTATTATTTATTTATTTATTATTTGTTGAAGAATAATAAAACATACAACAGAACATTGACCTGATTTTGATGACTTGAATCTGGATGGAGACAGAAAACCGGTTTGGAATACATACACTTAAAGTAGAGCAGGAAGAAAACCAAGACAATGCATCATCAGGATGATATCAGTGTTCAGTCTACACAACACTGTCCATAAATGGGACATTTATATGCATAATGTGTTTTGCAATGTGTTTTGTTAGTAATAGTCACCATTATTCCCAGGTGAAAGCAGCATTCATTGTCCAGAATTTGCAGTGTGTCAATTAAGCTGTGTGCTTCGTCTGATGGACAGTTCAGCTTTTGAGTTACTGCCATTGCCTCTAGGATATCTAGCAGTCCCAATTTTCTCTGTCTAGCATTCCCATTTTGTTTAGTTTTTGCCCAACCCTGTTATTTTTCTAGAGCTAGACACAGGGAATGTGGCCCAGAAATCCAGCTATGAAGATGGGTATAAACCTGCTGTCAGCACTGCCTTCTGCCCCCTGGAGACCTAGCCTGATTATAGCTCCATCAGTCTCTCTCTTTATGGCTGTGGACACACTGCTCTCTAAATGAACAGCTGTACTTTGCAGCCTGTTGTATATGCCTTTTCAACAGCATTATTATTTTCTCCTGTCTCTGTGTTTTAGGGCTGTCTGAAGTCTGAGACAGGGATAAGCGTGTTGATATTGTTGTTGATGTCAGCTGGTCAGCAACATAATTGGCTTGTCAACTTGTCACACTTGCGCTACTGATGTTTGCATTGGAGCAGAACATCGGTCAGGGGAATGGAATTCTCAGCAACATCTATAATTCAACTGCGGACTCAAACTGTCTTCTGCCAGCAGATTTGACTCGCCTCAGCACTTAGAACTTATATTGCTTGGCACAGGAAGGAGGTTCGCCAAGAACAATTTCTGTGGGGAAGATTTATACCAAGTCAACAGGAGCAGTAATTGGGGCATAGATGTATAGTGTGTAAAATGGTAATTAGGGTATAGTCCAACCCTATTATTAATAACTTATGACAACTGAAGAAATAGTACAGAAGACATTTTTGATAGGTTAGATAAAGAGCTATGAATAAACAAAGACCAGAAAAAATTTGCTGCTGGTCTACATTCAAACTCCTTATTGAGTCACATTGGGCCTGGTGTGATCGATCAATAAATTATCAATAAAATTACCGATCACAAGATGCGATCAATAAATTATCAATAAAATTACCAATCACAAGATGAATGAAAATAAAGTCAATAATTTTGCAGGCCTCGATAAATTGTCATGTACACGTGTGTTTGCATTCCTTATCTCTTGCCTTCAAACAGACTCAATGACAGGATGGCCCACTATGTATCGCTCTACGCACCTGAGCGCGTTTGTTCCAACGTATGTCACAACCTTTATCTTAAATTCACCTTAAGAAAGATTACCAATCAGGTGCATCAAGACCTGGCTGCATGCCACAGACTAATGCAATCACATATTTGTTGAATGCTGCTCCAGGTAAGATGGATCGATGCTAATGCTAACTCAGTTGATTTAATAAGAAATGAAACTCAAGAATCAAGAAGCTTTATTTGTCACATAACACAACAGATGATGCCAGTGAAATGGGCAACGCCCCAGGCCCTGACAGTGCTAAAAGCAGGTCTACATAGAATAAGCAAGAGAGAGTGAGATTGTTGTGAGTGACAGAAAAAAAAAAAAAAAATTTGTCACTGAAGTATAAAATTACTTTTGCGGTAGAGGTACCATATATATATATATATATATATATGTATATATATATATACTCTACATTATTGACTTAGAATAGTGAGGTGAGGAACGATACCAAAAACCACAACTTCACTACCACTGATAAAAGTAATTACTGTAAAAAAAAGAAAAAAGACAACCTTAACAAACACGTGGTTCTCAAAGCACAACAGCCTTTCCTCCAGCGCAATTGAAGCATATCCCAAGGCACTTCTACTGTTCAGTGTCTTTTTTTCGCTAACCAAATGCCTTCACTCACTTTGATCACACAGACAAACTCTTGAAATTCAGGAGGGCTTGACTTTATTCTTCCACAAGGGCTTCATATGTAAAGAAATTCAGTGTAGTGTGGCAACGAGGCCTGGGAGACTTTCGTATGGTAATTTGTTATGGGAGTGCAGGGTTTTTTCATTCATGGGAAACTTTTGAAGTCTGGCAGAATTGATGCACAAATAGATTAGAATATATAAAAGTAACAGTTCTGCCCCTGGGCAGAGCAGGAACACGGGGGGGGGGGGATCTTGTTATGACCTTTAAGTCTGAGTCAAACAGTCTTTTATTTTCTTTCAAGCTGACTTTGTGAAGTTATTTAACATCGGGGACTGCTCCTGTGGAGGACAGGCGCCAAACACACAGTTGTGACGTGTGCTTTTACGGAGAGGCTGCTTCGCTTTTCTTTCAGATGTCACATTCAATTGCTCCAGTCCACAGCTCCTGAACCTCAATTCATCTGTTTTCTAAAACGTTTCTACAACTTTTTGTTTGGCACGTGTCGTTTCCTTTTGTTTCTTTCTTTATTGCAGACCCAGGCTTCTGCATTATTTAAAATGTTAATAGCACTAACTTTCAAGAAGTCATCTTTACCACCCGTCTCTACACTGATCTGCAGTACTTCTGTGGGTAAAGATACTTGTCTATTTAAACTCCGATATTTTTAACCATCTCAGTATGCAGTGTTGAGCAACTGCAAGAGAAAATGTGAAGCGGCGGTGGCTTTGCTTGGGTAATGACAACAGGGTCATACTCTGCCAACACAATGAAAACAAAGACTAAAGGAAGTGCTACACTGGTGAGTTGAATGTATTCGAATTGAAACAAAGAATGTTTCCTACTCTGAGTTCAGAGGAAAAACCTTTTTCATTCTCAGGGGTATGACCTGGCATTGTATGTAGTTTTGGCAAACATCACACTACTGTGTTTAATTTCATGGATTAAAGGACTAAGCTACGTGATATGAAGTTTTCGGTACAAATAGATGAAACCTAAATGTACCCACACTGATATGAAAAGTAAATGATGGGATGGACAGGAGTTGTACCAACAGAATTTTTTTTGCCAGATCATTGTGGATATGCACTGCTGTGGCGTTTTCAAGGTCATCCGGCAACAATCCTCATCACGTCGGCAGGCCCCTCAGTTGTTCCCATAGCAACCTTACTGAGCTGACAGATTGGAGTCGACCTCCCACATATTTACGTTAGCGCACAAACACACACAAACACACACACATACACAATTAAGTTTGATAAAGCATACACTGCATTGTGTTAAATAAAGCAGACACTAAAGGCGAAGTGTTGTAGCGAGATCGCTGTACACAAATAGCCCATTAAAGGGAAAGTTGAACACAAGGAGTATCTCATGAAAATAGCTCCTTTCTATTCCCATCTATTTTCTGTTTACTCGTCTCTCTCTGTGGGCAGACCAAGTGTGCTCCTGTGCTCGTTATCAGAACACACAGATATGAGCGTGGAAGAATGAAGTGCACCGAGCAGGGAGGGGAAGACAAAAAGGTTAAAAAAAACGAAGGCAGGAAAAGGGAAACACCCAGGGTTTGTTTTACTGCTGTGTGCCTTTCGATGTAAATATTTTTTGGATCAGCGGTATATTATTTTGCCAACATTTGAATACTAAACTTATTAGGTTGTTTTTGTTTTTTTAATTAAAACATTTTGTTTTATTGTCTGACGCACCGTGGCTCAAATATATTTTTTAAAATTCAAGAATGCACAATGAAAATGCAGTCAATGAAATTGTACCTGGGGATGCCAAAAGACTGGGCTGCCACACCGTAGATGACAACAGGGAGCATCTCGATGTATTCCATCCTGATAGTATCTCAGCTACACTACAGCTTACAGAACAGCTCTACAGCCAGTTGGCTCCAGCACAGAGAGGATTACAGGGACTCAACCATCAGCACTGAAAGAAAGCTATACCACACATTGCCTCAGGGAAGCAACCAGCATCTGGGAAGACCACATACAACTGTGCCACTGTATCTTTGAAGCGTTGCCATTGGGAAAAAAATGTCTTAAAACCAGTGCCAGACAAAAAAACTGTCTCCGTTCAGAGCTGCGGCTGCCTTGAACTAATCTAAAATACTGAGCTTTAGCTCGACTACTGTTTGTCTGCTGCTAAACTACTGCACTTAAATTATTATTATCAATCATTGCACCAAACGTTCTTGTTTCTTTTTCTAAACTTAGCCTTGAGTATTTGTCTTGGGTGCACTGGTCTGTGAATGTTAGCATTAGCTCAGATGTGCTATGCTGCTTTTCTGTTACTTTTGGGCACTAAACTGCTGTGTATTTAGTAGCTGTCAGGTAAATGTGTTTATCAAATCTATCTAACACACTAGTGTGTCGTGAGAGAGCATTAGGTGTGCATGAAAATTATCCAGTTTCACTTAATTGGGTTGGAAAAAAAAGAAATGTTGTGCTTAGAAAGCTGTTAAAAAAGAGAAGACCACAAGCATTCCATCCTCTTGGGTTTTTTAAAGCCGTCAAAAACCAGTGTGATGTCACAAAGACAGTACAGAGCTCAGTCTCTTGACTTTGTACAGTACACAATGTACAGTAAACTGATGAAACATAAGGAGCGGTGGTGGAAAAGTGTTCAATTTCATTAAATTCTTATTAGGGGAATTTGACCACGTGGCATTTTTCAGTCACAGTTCTAGCCAAAGCAGTATTTGGTCTATTTTAAGGCCTTTTAGGTCCCCTTACAGTAACTGCCTGTTTTGTCACCAGTCGACACAAGTTGAAAATACTGACAATCCACATCATCATATGAGTGA